CTGGCGCCTCGGGCAGCCGCTGCCAGCGCCGTGGGGGCCTGGGAGGACCACGACACCCTGGGCTATCCTGGACAAACTGGTAGGAAAATGCAGGGCAGTGATGAGCCAGGTTCGTTAACGCTTACTGAGCCTCACCGCTTTGATCTTGGCTTGGGGTTTAATCAAGGGGAAGTTGCTACTTCCCCTGGCTCAACCGCTGCGTCCCCTATCCCAGTAGTTCTGTGCCCCAGCTTTCTCCGGCCCCAGGAACCTCTGTGGCCCAGGGACAGGAGAGCAATGTGGCTGATGCCTGCAAGAGCCCTGGCTGCCAGGGGAAACTGAGGCACAAGCGTGCCATGCTGCATCACCCCTGCAGCCAGCAAAAAAAGCATTGGTTTGGGAAAGCCTTAGGAAACCAGGCTGGGGGAGGGAGGAAGGAGCAGAGCCAGTCCATGCCAGGCAAACGCTGGCTTTGCACAGCCCCCCACGGCTGTGGCATGGTCCCTGGGCTCCGCAGGCTTTGCACCATGCCCGGGATGGGGTTGGACCAGCAGCCTCCGGGCATCTTGTACATGGAGGGTTTGTGTGCTCAGCCCCATCCCCCTGGGCCTGAAGGACAAGAGGGACTCGAGCAGCATCCTCCACCCCCGGCACGAAAGCGTTTGACACACTCGGTCCTTCCTTCTAAACACGCAGACAGCACGCATCCTGCGAGCGCCGCTGAAACATCCTCGACACACCACGTCCCACCCCAAGGATGGGGCTGGAAGCAGCCGTGCCCAGGGCTGTTTCCCATCTATCCCCAGCCTCTCCAGCAGCATCGAGGGTCTTCCATGAGCACAGCTGGAGTTTGCATCTGCTTTGCAACAGGAGATGATGCTCCCATCTCAGAGGAAATTGGGATAACGCTGCTTCCAGTGGTGACCACCTCCCGTTTCTCGGGGAGAAGCTGCTCTCAGCAGAGCCATCAAACCCCAGGGACCGCTGGCCCAGCCCTGTGCCCCTAAACACTGCTTCTCCCTGGGACTTTGCTCCTACTTCAGGAGGGATGAGCAGACCTCGAATTCAAAACTGAGTTCTCTCATTTTTTAAGGACTCCAGAGTTCACCACAAGAGAGAGGAGGGGAATGCAGAGCCCAGTGCCAAGCTGCTCTCAGCCCTGGCTCCTGCAGGATCACGGGGAAGGGATGGGGAGTGCAGGAGGACAATGCTCCGGGGCCATCTCAGAGCTCCCAAGGAGCAAAAAGCAAAGGACATGCCTTGCTCGGAGGCATGACCCAGGTCTGCCTGCATCAGAGTTTCCCCTCTCTGGGTCCCAGAATAACTCCAGAGAGGAAGATTTTCCTGGGCAGGGGCCAAGGGAGGTGTGCGAAGAGCCAGGGGCTACTGTCGTGTCGGTGGCTGGAATTACTTGGGGCCTTCCGGGCAGGGCTGCTCGGGGAGGCTGACTCACGACCGGCCAACGGGTGATCTCATTCCCCAGCTTTTATTGCTCCAGAGGTTGTGACGTATCCAAGCTGTCCCCTGGTTTCTCCCAGCACCCGCTCCAGCCTCGTACAGCAGCCGGAGCAAGGCAGGAGCTGCTAACAGCCACGAACCTGGCATGCGGAGGAGATGCCAGCTCAGATGGGAACAGTTCGCAGGGGCGCTGGGCTCCTGCAGCCAGGAACACCCATGTTGGGCCTCCAAGGACCCATCCCTATCCCCCCTTGCACACTGCAGAGGTCACACCATGACCAGCACCAGGAACAATCCCTGGACCCTTTCCCTTAACTGCAGCGGGGTGAGCAGCATAGCTTTTCCTCTCAGGATTGCTCACTCGGCTCCCAGAACTGCTCCTGCCACCCCAGCCACGCTGAGGAGAGCGCCCAAACCCCTCCGAGGGGCTCAGGGCTGGCACAGCACCCGCAGTGCTGCACTGACCCCTGCCTCCGCGGGCTGTCCCCAGGGACCAGCACCCTGTCCCAGACACGGAACCCCTCCCTGGATGCTGCACTTGGGTAAAGGCTCCAGACTCCTCCCGCTGCAGCTTTAATTAGGGCCACAAACAGCCACCCTCACCCACAGACCGGCTCCGTGCAAACCCTTGACCACAGCAGCAGTCCAGCCTCCCCACCGAGGCCCCAGCAACGCCCGAAACCCACCACCCCCCTGCCCAGCACAGGGGACCACCCCGACAAGCCCCGCCCCCAAGGTCCCCAGCAGTGGGAGCTGAGTCTTATATCCCAGTACAAGCCAAAGCCCCAGCTCCATCCCCAGGGCGCCGCATAGAGCCCACAGCAGGCTGAGACTGAGCACAGTTCATCGCAGGCATGGCCGGAGCAGCACAGGCAGGGCTGGACACCCACCTTTGAAGAGGTAGTCGTACTCATCGTCCTTGCCCCGCATCTTGTCCCGCACCACAGCCCCACGGCTACTGGGCCAACTGGGATTTCCGGCCCTTCTCCAGGCCTGGCAGGGGCTGTCCCCTGCGCACCCATTGGTGACCACAGTCCTTCCTCCTCCGCACCCATTGGTGGCCGGGGGTGTCTGTCACCGCCCAGGTGTGCTCACCTGGGCCAGGTAAGGGGGGGAGGCACAGGTATGCAGCTGCTCCCATGGGCGAGGGCTCTGCTCCCTGCTCAGCACCGCGGTACTTCCCGGAGGGCTCCGGGGCACGTTGCGTCGGGGTGTCCTCACGCAAAGTGCCACAGGGCAGCAGGGAAAGGCCAGCACGGGGTCACCGCCATGCGCCCGTGTGCCACCAATGGGGACAGACATGGCCATGCTCCCCATGCAGAACGGCGGACGTGAAATGGGAGCTGGGCTGACGTGCACGGTGCAAAGGGGAAGCAGGTGCCCAGAGCTGGAGGAAGATTTGGAGAATCCAGTGGCAAAACTCCCATTTCCAAAGGGTTTTGGGGAACTGGCTGAGGCGAAGTCATGGTTTGGACTGATAACTGCCAGCCGGCCCCCATAAGCCATCGAGGGGTGGGGAGGTGGCCTGGGAAAGGCTGTGTGGGGAGGGGGCACAGTGGGACCATGGCATTGGGCTGCTTGGATGGCCACGATCTCTGGCATGTCATGGAGGTGGGGACTGGGGGATGGGACCACAAACACGCAGGAATTCCAGCTCAGCAAACATGCATTTCGCAAGTCCTTTAATGATTGTGTCACCGCTGTGCTGGCCACGGAGCTGCTCCTGGGCCCCCTGGCACTGGGCTCCACACCGAGCCCCATCCCGCCGCACAGACAGGAGGGACCTTCTCTGGCTCCTGCTGTCACGCTTGTCCCATGTCTGGTATGGGGACAAAGCTGTGCCAAGGGCTGAGCGCTGCCACTTCACTCCTTGGGGCTTGGGATAACCCCAGAGAAGCCCCCAGATGGGATGGAGGCCTGTGGGGACAGCCACATCCCCAGCGCGTGGCACACGGTGGCCCCATGGGAGCAACCCCAAGGCCAGATGCGATTGGAGAGGCTCCCATCGCTGGCACGATCCCGGCCAGGCCCTCCTGGCTCCTTCTCCAGCCGTGCCTCAGGGATCTCTCAGTCCTCTGCACTGTGGGCCCGGAGGGGCTGGGGGGGCCGTGCGTGATGGTGGTGATGCTAATCAAAGCCCGGCAAAACCGGAGCAGACGGAGCAGAGCTCCCGGCACTGGTGCTTCTCACCATTTGTGGCAGA